CGGCCAGCTGACAAGCTTCTACAGCTGGGTACCAATGAGTCGAAAATGAAACCTAATTAGATCACTTGCTACCCGCGTTCGACGCATCTGCAGGTCTGATACCCTGGAAGAAGAAATACACTTCCTGAAAGTAATCTTCGTAGACAAAAACAACAAACAGAAAATCCAAATTCATGTATAATCCTCATCCAGGCATTAATGAAAAAAAACGTAGATCAGCGAAGAGTCTCTTTTCGACGAATTCATTTTCTTAGCTGTATAATCGCAAATATATATGTGTTATTTTGTATGCATGTGTACAATAAGTTTGTCAAACAGAAATACAATTGGTTATAGTTATTTAAACTAAACAGGTGAAGGTTGGTAATTGGAGTTAAGTAATACAAAATCAGTCAAGAAAATTAGGTGTTAGTGAAATTACGGTAGTAACAAAGAAAATGAGTTGTCACAAACTATTCATATTATTACATAACTTCTTTTAACAAATGCTTGTGACAACTCATTTTCTTTGTTACTACCGTAATTTCACTAACACCTAATTTTCTTGACTGATTTTGTATTACGTAACTCCAATTACCAATCTTCACTTGTTTAGTTTAAATAACTATAACCAATTGTATTTTCGTTTGACAAACTTATTGTACACATACATACAAAATAACACATATATATTTGCGATTATACAGCTAAGAAAATGAATTCGTCGAAAAGAGACTCTTCGCTGATCTACGTGTTTTGTTCTCATTAATGCTTGGATGGGGATTACACATGAATGGATAATTTCAATCTAATATCACACAAACTTGAAGACCTACAAGCGAAAATCAAAAACTGACTGAAGAAGCAGGAGGCAGCGAAGAAAGGACTCATTCAGGTGAACACAGAGAAAATAACCAACCAATAACAACAACACAGCACCAATCACTAACAACGGAATAAATTTGAAATAGGCTACTTCCTTCACTTATCTCCTGCACAACATAGTTTTAACTACAGGCAGCTGGCACGGATGAAGATGTTGAAACCAGCCTACGCTAGAAAGTCAAAGAAGACATTCATCACTCTACAGTCAGTTTGGAAATCTTCTGCTCTACAACTCAGCCAAAACAGCAAGATACGGATTTCCAACAGTGTGAAGTGTGAAATCACTTCTTCTATGTGAGTCAAAAACTTGGCCGGCGTGTCACGAAAAGCATTTCTAAAAATCAGCTGTAAACTTTGATCAACAGCTGCCCCCTTTATCGGGTCTATATTAAATATTTGAAAGAGGCTACTTCATTCACTTATCTAGGGAGCATTGTCTCAACTACAGGAGGAACGGACGAGGATGTCAAATCGAGAATCGGGAAGGCCAGAAACACATTCATCAACCTGAAACCAATCTGGAAATCTTCCTCACTCAGCATCAACAACAAAATTCGGATTTTCAATACAAACGTCAAGTCAGTCAGTTCTTCTATACGGATGGATCAGAAACTTGGTGGGTCACAAAGAATATTTCCAACAGCCTGTTGCAGACCTTTATCAACAACTGTCTTCTCTCTATACTGAAGATCAGGTAGCCGGAAAGAATCACAAACAAGAAACTATGGGAACAAAAAAAACAAGAACCAATCGCCCAACAAATATGCAGGAGAAAGTGGAAATGGATTGGACACTCGCTGAAGAGGCCACTGGGTGACATCGCGCGTCAGGCCATAGCTCGAGTGGAACCCGAAAGGGAAGCGGCGAGTGGGTCGTCCAAGGGTGACATGGAGGAGATCGTGTGAACAGGAACTGAAACAGTATGGACCAATGTGGATGCGGGTGAAAAGTACAGCAGAAGACAGAAACAAGTGGAGACGTGCAGTTGAAGCCCTATGTTCCACTAGGAAAACAAGGAAACAATTATAATAATTATCATAATGTTAAAGATCAAATAGCCAGCCTGCCAGAAAGGATTAGCAAAATGAAACTATGGAAGCAAACCAACAGACGAGAACCGATTGTTCAACAAAAATGTACAAAAAATGGAGGTGGGTCTGACACAAGCTGAGGAGACCATCAAATGACATTGTGCAGTAGACTATTTCTGGAGTGGAACCCAAATATTACATGACGAGATAGGTGAGATCCCCCCGAATGTGAAATCGTGGGTGGGGGAGGAGATGAGAAAATATATAAAGTCGTGGAGCCAGCTGAAGAGGACCGCAGAGAATGTACGACAAAGTGGAGATGTGATGTCAAGGCTCACCGTGTTCCACTTGGAACCCAAGGGAATAATAATAATAAATTGTATATAGGTGATACACTAGCAAAGGTACTTAGAAGGTATTTTTTGAACATCTCTTTAACTGATGAAAAACACCATTTGAAATGCCTCAATCGGTCTAGAGTTGATAACACTTCGACGTTTAAAAACATGGATACTGGGGTTCGAGACTCAGTGGGAACATCATCACTCACTGAACAATGCAGGTACACATCCAACTGGTGAGTCCCGAATAGGAGGGCGAAATGCACATCTTGGATTTCACTGATAGTTAACAATCCACCAAACTACTTTAAATGAATCCGCAGATACCATCGCAGCATTCGTACCAGGGGTCCACCGAAATGTCAACACAGGCCAGAAGTCTCGGTCCAATCAATCAAAAAAAGGAAAATCTAAGTTGAATTCAAAGTGCTCATATACGGCATGTCATCAAAAGGATTTCAAATAGGCTACAGCTGCTATTTTAACTTGATGCTAAAGATCAAATGGCCAGTCGGAAAGCCAGATAAGCAACAGAGAGCTCTGGAAGCCAGAGAACCAGCCAACAAGCCATCCAGAAAGGAGTGGAGACGGACTGGACATACACTAGAGATATCTCCCAGTGACACTATACGCTCTCAGGTGAAAACTTAACGGGAAGCAAAAAGTTGGGCTTTCGAAGGTGACGAATAATAATAATAAAACTGCACAGTAATTTCCTCATATTCTGGAACATAGTTGCAGATGGCCATAGTAAGGAGAAAGGTGGGATAAACGTGGGGCGGGTTCAACTTGTCAGCATCCGAAATATCCAAGAAACATTAAAACTAGTAGCGGTTAAATGTATGTATATGTATTAACCCCCAATCGACAGCTGCCCAATAACCCGACGACATAAATTGCCTGGAATGAATGCTTCTGCAGGTTCTACCATGCAAGAATGATCGTTTGAACAGCGGTTTGACTAAAAGCAACTACCATCATAGTGCAGGTCGTTTAACTTCAGTAGAGGGTCTAAGGGAGAAGTCGTAATGCCGGTGAAAAGGGCCATGACAGCAGGAAGGTGTTTCTCTCGGATAATCAGCATGGCCAGGCATGCTACCACCATCCGCCAGCTCTAAACGAGGGGATTGCAAAAGGTCAACCCAAAAAGTTATACAATCTAATTCACCCTGCGGTGGTGTCAGTAGACGGCAGTAAGGATATCACATGGACACAACTGCAAAAGCTAAAACAGACAGAAAAATCTTCTATACACCGCTGCTCAAAAGAAAACTATGCCGACATTTTGTGAGTTTATAATGCTTAAGCCAGCTTCATCCCTCATTGTGCTCAAAGTTTGTACAAAACGCATTTTTGTACAGTCCCCCATTAATCAATTCTACAGAGTTTCCGTAAATCATTATTATTATTATTGTTTCCTTTAATTCCTAGAGGAACATAGGGCTTCAGCCAAGCGTCTCCATTGCGTTCGGTTCTCTGCCAACATTTTCACCTGGCTCCAAGTCTGCCCACACGTTTTCATCTCCTCTTCACATGACCTCCTCCAAGTCACCACAGCAGGGACGACCAACTCGCCGCTTTCCTTTCGGGTTCCACTCGAGCAATGGCTTGTCTAGTGATGTCACTCACTTGATGGTTTCCTCAGAGTATGGCCAATCCATCTCCATTTCTTCCTGCCTATTTTCACATCGGTTCCTGTTGGGTTGGTTCGATCCCAGAGATCTCTGTTGCTGATCTTTTCTGGCTGGCCATCTGATCTTGAGTAGTATTGAGCGAAGACAGCTAGCTGTTGATGAAGGTCTGCAGTTTGTTTGAGATGCTCTTTATGACACGCAGTGCAAGTCTCTGATCCGTATAGTAGCACTGACTGACTTCACATTGGAGTTGAAAATCCGGATCTTATTTTTGATGCTGAGTGCTGGGTGTTGACCTCCACACAGACTTGAGAGTAATGAAAGCTTGTCTTGCTTTTCCGATTCTTGCTTTGATATCCTCGTCAGTTCCGTCTGCCTGTAGTTGAAATGATGCTTCCCAGGTAGGTAAAAGAGGTTGTTTCTTTCTTTCTCGTCATTTTCTGGAGAGGAGATTATTACCAGTAACAAAGTAAACGTTTTCAAATAGTGTGTACACTTAGACCACAGCATTCATCAACACATTAGGATGAGTAAATTATACAACCCCAACAATAAGACAGACAGCATTTTCGGTGATATCACACGTTTATCACTGGGAAGAGAAGCTAAACAGATGATAACTCATTACATCTAAGTGTTGTTTTTTTTTTATTTAACACATTTTGCATCATTTCATATAGATACAGAAAAAGAATTCTCTTTTGGTAGAAACAGTCTTTCAGCATTAAATTCTTGATAGCTGTTCAACTTTAGTTTTACTAATATTATGCAGGTGTATTAGAGAAGATGCAATGATAGAATATTCGCCAGCCAGGCGAGAGTTTTAGCTACCTACGAGATTTCCCGGCCAACTTACTCCTAAACTTCACCTAATCAGTGATAGTAAGCCAGGCAAGATAGCGAAGGCCAGCAACTTCATCTCGTGGGGAAATAAATACCGCCGGTACGGAAACCTGAAACCCTATTTCCCACTACGAATGACAGGGGATGAAAAAAAGGGTGTTATGCAGTTTGACAAGACAACAGATATCTTAAGTATATCATATATTGTGTATATTAATTCTGAGAAGAAATATGGAGGGGGGAAAGGCCATTCACATCATCAACAAGAAAATCAATAATAAACTTACATCAATTTTTAACGCTTGACGAAAATGACTGGCAGCCTGTACAGGATCACCTTGTCGCCAACATGAATCACCTAATTCACACCAAGCATCTGTATGCTGAGGATTGAATTTCAACGCCTTAGTCAACCATTGAATTGCTTGACAGGTTAAATCATTCTCCTCGGTATCATGAAGATTTCCAGTATACATGTCTGAATCAATTGCATTAAAGGCCTAAATTCAAATGTACAATAAAAGAAGCATTTTTTTAAAATGTAAAAAGTAAAGGCTTCAGTTAGAGAGCCATTGAAAACCACACCATGGAGTACTGGGCAGTCGTTTTGTCCTTGCCTGAGACTCTCCAGCAACACATACTGTCTTTCCCCACATCCAAGATCATACCTAGGACCCGCAGTCTATCTGCCTGTCTGTTTTCGACATAGAACTTTGCACATATGTGCGGCAGTTCAAGTCGCCACACTTTACTCAGCACACAAAGGAAGAGAAGAAAGTAGGAGAAATGCATAATATAGACAGTAAACAGAGGTGTGAGACAAAGGAATAGTAATAACGAAGAACAAAACAGTTTCATTGGAAATCATAAGTCAGAACGAGTGGATGCATCTGCACCAGCCATTGAAAACGATTTTGAGCCATGTCACCAATTGTTTCCAACCACTGATTTTTACCATCACGAGGACCCCAACCAGTCAGGAGGTCTACATCTTCCTACGTGGCCTAGACTAACTGTTTTAGATTTCATTGACTAGTGCCATGTTTTCGTTTGACCGCCGCTAGCTCCTTTCCAACCTGACCCTATGTCAGCTAACATTGCCCGTCGAGGATGGCGATGACTAGGCATACGTAACACATGTCCTAACCATCTCAGTCGATGTAATTTCACAGTCTCGTCGACTGATTTCCCCTCCTTACCTAGCACTCGACGCCTAACCTCAATATTGCTCACCTTATTATACCACTTCACACGGGAGATAGAACGCAGGCACCTATGATCAAAGACAGCTAATCTTTTCATGTCTTCCGCTCTCAATGGCCAGGTCTCACAGCCATAAAGGAGGACCCGCAGGTTATGAGGTGAGTCCGTTATCCATTTTAGCCAACGGGAGAAAATCCATTACGCTTTGAATTCTAAAATTCAACAATTTGCGATATATAAACGCCACTGACAGCTAACGTCATCGATCAGTATTTATTCGTAAGACCGATTGATTTCATGGAACCCAATGGTCACGAGTTCTCACTAGAGTCCCAAACTGGGACAGAGCATATATGAATGACTACAGTTCAGACAACAAATACAAGTTTTAGATATGATGGAGAAGATTTGTAGCTCAGTGGGTGGATGATTTTGATGTGGTTGTGTTCTCTGAGCTGGATAGTTAATTTGCGAAGCTTTCATCACCCTACTAGGCGACATCTTCAGCGCATACTTCAATTTGAAGTGAGCTTTTAGATTTCTCCACGAGTTTATTAATCATCTCTCCTGGTGACCTTGGACGTGATTGATTGCTTTTGTGTTTTCATACCCCATACGCTACTTGAGTTGGAACTGATTGTTTCCTTGACTTGAACTTTGACCCTTTGTGTGCGAGGTTTCTTTCTTATCGGTTGATAAATTTTGTCTATCTTGATGTGTCTATTGATTGATGATTCACTGGAATGATTTCTGAGATGTCCTTTATATATGGTAGGATGATATAAAGGACATCTCAGAAATCACTGCAAGACTCTTCAAACCTTTAGGAATTGATGTTGCACACAAACCAACAAAATCACTTCACTCACCTGGTTTTGTGTCAACCAAAAGACTCAACAACGAAAGAAGATAAAACCAGCATCATCTACAAAACAAATTGTAACAACTGCGAAAAACACTACATTGGCCAAAGTGGACGTCCCCTTCGTCTTCACATCCAAGAACATAAACTAGCAGTAAAAAGACATGACATCCAGGCCCTCACTCATATCACCTCACTGCATACAGACAACCACAGACATCAATTCAACTGGGACAACCAGTGTTCAAATATAAGACAGAGGCAACACCAGGAATGCTAGAGAATTTTTAGAAGGCTGCCTGGTATTTCAGTGAATCGACACATCCAGATAGACAAAATTTACCAATCAATAAGAAGGAAATCTCACACACAAAGGGTCAAACTTCAAGTCAAGGAAACAATCAGTTCCAATACAAGTAGCCTAGAAGGTGTGAAAACACACAAAAACAACCAAACATGACGTTGTTAAAGGTCACACACCAGGAGAGATGACTGATGGTGAACTCATGGAGAAATCTTAAAGCTTAATTCAACTCGAATTGAAATATGCACTGAAGATATTGCCTAGTAGGGCAATGAAAGCTTTGCAAATAAACTATCCAGCTCACAAAATACAATCACATCAAAAAAAGCAAATACAAGTTACACTTCCATCGTATCAAGCAGCCAAACCCCATCATCAGAGGTGAACTAATATATTTCACTGAAAGACTGGGTATTAGGAAGGTGTTGAGTTCAGGAATACATCCAGTAATATGGCGTAAAACTCATTCTGTCATACTGTTCACCATAATTCAAAATTTGGAAGGCGCATAGCAATGCGTAGGCAAGGGTGACAACAGATCCTCGGTATTCCTGCACTGAAGTAGAAGACTTTGACCCTTTTGCAGTGAAGCAAAGATGCTCCACACATGAAAGATATGGTTGCACGTCTACTTGTCTAAAGCAGCAATACACTTAGAAGTGGAGCACGCACGTTTTATCGATGCCTCTCCAATGATGCTTTCGTAATTTCGCAACTGTATGAGAACTCCAAAAGAAAGATACAATGACGAAGGTATTAAGTTTTTTGAAGCTGATGGTGAATTACGGTAAGTTGTACGGGAATCGGACAGTGATCACACAGTGAAGACGATGACAAATAGTGTCATAGAATGTATTCCTTCCGAGTTACTTACTAGTCTCGAAAGCGTGACTATAAGGCTGAAACAATTTTCAGAGTTCCTAATAACGAAGAGTAGTTCTCCCTCATCTATCAGGTACCAAACAAATTGCCAAAAACAACCGGGTACCACATACTCCTAACAGTGAAGGCTATTGTGATTCACCTAGAACAACCGGTGCTCTGTGTGCAGAAGAAACAAGTTCAACCAACCACTACTACTGCCCTGACCAGTCTATAAATTCATGAAATTGTATTATTCATGAAAAATTCCCATTCGAATATTCATAGACAGAAGACCAACAGTTCAGCTCTTTTCGGCAAATTCATTTTCATAACTGTACAATCGCAAATATGTATGGTTGTTTTGCATGTGTGTGTACACTAAATTTGTCAAACGAAAATAAAATTAGTAAGTTCAGATGAATTGGATGTTGATATAAGAGGACAGTAACAAAAGTGATGAGTTGTCACAAACGATTGTTAAAGAAGAATTACGTAATAACGTGAATAGTTTGATGAAAGAGTTGTGCTCAGGGTGTACATGGAAACAAAATAACATACGGAATTACGCAAGAGTTTTAAGTAGTTAGAAAAATAAGCATACAAACAAAAGTTAAGTCAAATAAAAGGAGTTGTTACAATGAGAGTAGAAGTGGTTGGACAATTTTCTTTTGTATGCATAGTTCTGATTATTCCAACTGAATGGTTAGGGCTTCTGCAATGCAAAGAAGACAGAAACGTATTGTCTTTGGTAGGTTGTTTTTCACTTTGTAGATTACTTTGAAGGAGGCGTTTCTGCAGTCACGCTGGATAGTGTCCTTTGACCCTTTTTGACAGGATGCGCATTGAACGACCGATGTACCTGGCTCCACAGCAACAGGTGAACTGATATATACACATAGAAGTGGTCAGGTGCGGGATCTTGTCTTTTGGGCTTCTGCAGATAAGCGGGCGACTGGAGAACACCACTCTCAATGTTGCCGCAAAGAAAGTTCTTCTTAAAGAAGTGGAAATTCTCTTCCTAAAGATATCATCTTTGAAGTCAAGGTCCATATAAAGTATCCTTTTTCGCACGGAGGGAGTCTCTTGCTTTCGCATTTCCTGTTTGATGTTTTTGTCTATGAATCTCGGTGGATAACCGTTTTGTATGAAGATTTCTTTCAGGAAGTGTAGTTCTCCTTCCAGGGTATCAGAGCTGCAGATGCGTCGGACGCGAGTGGCAAGTGATCTAATTAGGTTTCTTTCCCGACTGATTGGTACCCAGCTGTAGAAGCTTATCAGCTAGCCGTTCCATGTGGTTTTGTTATGGATGGACCTTCTTGAAGTTCCATCAGCTCTCCTTGTAAGTTCACCATTAAGAGAAGGGATTTTAGATTCGTTTTCAATTTCAAGAATGAACTTTGCAGCTTAATGGCATTTGTTGAATATAAAAGAAAAGAAGACGTTCAGCGAAGAGACTCTTTTCGGCGAATTCATTCACTGAGCTGTACAATCGCATATTTATACAATTTTGTTTGTGTGTGTGTACATTAGATTTATAAAGTTTAGATAATTATGTAATATAAGTAATTTTTGGCTTGGAAACAAACGTTAAGATGGAAAATAAAATAGAATTGATTAAGTGAGTAGAATTCAGATGAGGTCAGGTTGGAAACAGTGTTAATGAGTGGTGTTTAAAATCAAATAAGGGTGGGGTTAGAGAATAATACAGTTGAAAATAAGTAAGTTAATCGGATGACGTAACTCAGTTGACTACCCACCCTCTCTACCCCACCCTTTTGTAATCTCTACCCTCATTAACAATGTTACTAACTTGACCCACGTCCAATTTCTAGTCAACTGAGTTACGTCATCCGATTAACTTACTTATTTTCAACTGTATTATTCTCTAACCCCACCCTTATTTGATTTTAACCACCACTCATTAACACTGTTTCCAACCTGACCTCATCTGAATTCTACTCACTTAATCAATTCTATTTTATTTTCCATCTTAACGTTTGTTTCCAAGCCAAAAATTACTTATATTACATAATTATCTAAACTTTATAAATCTAATGTACACACACACAAACAAAATTGTATAAATATGCGATTGTACAGCTCAGTGAATGAATTCGCCGAAAAGAGTCTCTTCGCTGAACGCCTTCTTTTCATTTGTTGAATATTTTTAGTAATTGATTGTATTATTATCTCCCCTCCGTTTCTCTTTTCCTTCTTCTTACATGATTTACCTCTTTCAGACGAAATCAACTTCGTCAAATATGCAGATGACATGTCTGTATCGTTTCCCATTAAGTCTCAGTCAGACTGTTTCAAATTAAATAGCTTCCTGTCGGACATCAGTCAGTGGTCTAAACTAAGTGGTCTCATGCTGAATCCCTCAAAATGCCAGACTATTGACTTTTCCCTTAGGCATAAACGAAATCTAAAAACACTAGTAATTACTCATGAAGCCTGTTGCATTGAGGGGACTAAAATTGAAACTAAGTCAAATGCAAAATACCTTGGTCTAGTTTTATCTCCCGACCTTACTTGGACATCCCACATCCTAACGATTTCTAAGAAAGTGTTCTGTCTAACCTACTACATTAAGAAACTTAGACAATCTGGAATCACCCAACCTCTACTTTTACAATTTGTCAACTCTTGTATCTTAACTATTCTACTTTACTGCTGACCCATTAGTCTTTCCTGGTCTACTGAAAAAGGACTATACCATCCTGAGAAGGATGTTGAAGGTAGCCAGTAGGACTAGTGGTGTAAAACTCAGTCAGCTAGTCACTACATTAGTTGAAAGGCATCTGAATACGTGCGAAAAATGGTCTAAAACCATACTCTCCGACCCCCAACACCCCCTCTCTTCCCAACTCTCGCCTTGTATCTCATCAAGTAGAACTAGAAATCAGTACAAAAAAATTTATGCTCGTACAACCAAGTACAGGAACTCAACGATACCATACTTGGCCCGTGTTCTAAGTGACAGAGACAATGTGAAGCACGAAACCTATGAATTACTTTGTTGTTAATAACATAATTTTAGGCTCTTTTATTTCTCTCTTATTCTGTATTCTATAGTGAACACCTTCTTAAACACACTTAGCTACCTAAATTGCTAACATTGGCTTACTGTTTTGTACTTTACTCTATTCCTTCTTTTGTGTATCTACTGGTTCCGACTATATTAGCACTATGAGTAGTACAAAATTGTCCTGTCATTAACCATCATGTAATTATTAGTTTAGTGGTTGTTTTTTCTTATTTTCTATACTTTTCGGCAATATTAAACTGACAATCATTGGTTGTGAACGCCATTGTCACCACCTTAAAAAATTTTGTATCACTCAGGATTACTCACACTACCACTACAAACAATGCATTAGACCTGACAATAAAAAACAAAACAACAACCCTGAAATGTTATTTTATGATTGTTTAGAGTTGTTTCAATCAAATTAACTGATCATCTTGGCGATAAACATTCTTAAATATCATTACATAACTTCTTGTATGACTATAGCTTTACTGTCACCATGCATAAACATATCATAGCTTCCACTACCCAATACTGAAATATTATTTATTTATTTTCCTTTCTACTTCTTGGCATTTTTTATTATTTTTGTGTTTGTTTTTGTTGCCTTTATATTTATTTTTTGAAATACTCCTTTTAAATGTTTGATAAAATTAGATGCAAATATTATAGATATGTGCTGAAAATTCCACACTGTACCACTTCTACTGTTTCTGGAATAAAGCAAATTATTATTATTATTATTATTATTAAATTTGCCTGTCTGATATTCAGTGTAGTGTATTCGTATGTTGATGCTATGGAACTGTAATCCATTGTTATTATTATCACTATTATTATCTATTACTGATTCAATGTTATTTGAACAACATTAATATTTTTTTTTGATTACAGCTTGATGCCACATCGTATTTTCAGTACAAGTATGGAATTTTCAGCATGGATATCGGTAGCCCAAATTTTGCAGGCCGACCATAGATATCGGGTGTGCATCAGCGGGGGATTGAACCCCGAACCATGTGCATGGTTGGCGAGAGTTCTAACCACTGTGTCATAACACTAATTCATTCACTATTATTTATATGCATGACTGCAGAACCTGATCAAGAAGACTTCATCGAAAGGGTGAATATTGTTTGTTCACTAACCATTCTTTAGCGAGAGAAAAAAAAAAACAAATTTAATGGGCATTTTTTTTAAAAATCATTTACAAAGAAAAAGGATGAACTCACTCTACCATATTGATAACAAAACTCTGCTTTTTGTAACGGTGATACTGATGATGTATGCATGAATATTGATTCATATGCCTTCAGCATAGATATTGTCTGTTCAAATTTCAATTGGACTAATTCATTTTTCTTATTCATTAATTCACATGATTCATTGATCATTGAACAGATTGTATCACTTTGCATCCATGATTGAAACATTGAATCATTTAATACACCATATTTATCAGCCCATTCGTTTAAATATTTCGTTTTAAATTCATATAAATTATGAACAGAGGCTTTAATTTGGTTTAAAATATCTTCATTATTACAGGCATGATGATTTTGTTGAATCTGTTGTTGTTGGTGTTGTTCTTCCTGTTCTTGATGTACTTCTTGAAGTTGTATCATCTAAAATAAGTGGAAAATCAAAGAAAAATGTAATTTTTGTTCAAGTTTTCAAGAGTTATTTTGTTTGTTTGTAAAGATTTGACTTTTGTTTTTCAATTTTGGCCACGGAATGATATCAGTTAGAGAACCACTGAAAACCAGCTATATGGAGTACTGCACATGGGTCTGTTTTGTGCCGATTTCGGGCTCATCAACAGTGACCGCCCACCCACCGGAGTTCAAACCCACGACCTTACGGTTACAAGTCAGGCGCATACACCATTCAGTCACTGGAACCTGATCCAATGGCCAGCTCTTGAATTCTGACTTCTACTAATTCGTGATTTTAACACGACCATCCTCCCCCCCCCCCCCCGACCTGATGGACACCACTGATCACATCATCTCACTACAACTCCAAACAACTTCGTCTAGTAGCCAGTCAGTAGCAAGCATCAGCTTTCCTTGCAACTGGAAGCTTCTGTGAAGGAATCCCAGTGGTCGTGTCCTGCTGACCAGTTGCAAACTAGGACGAAACAGCTTCCCAGTACCCCTTGGTTTTTATTGGTTCGCTAACTCATATTTGGCATTTAATAGCCGCCTTCTTAGACTTATTAACTCTATGTATATGTATGGACTCCAGGTGAACAAAGACAAGATGGAGGTTATGAAAATAACCAACCAACAACAACAACAGCAGCAACATCCAGTGCCAATCACCATCAACGGGAGGGGTTTGAAAGAGGTTACTTCATTCACTTCTCCAGGTAGGGAGCATTGTCTCAACTACAGGAGGAACGGACGAGGATGTCAAGTCGAGAATCGGGAAGGCGAGAAACACATTCATCAACCTGAAACCAATCTGGAAATCTTCGTCACTCAGCATCAACAACGAAATGATTCGGATTTTCAATACAAACGTCAAGTCAGTCAGTTCTTCTATACGGATCAGAAACTTGGCCAGTGTGTCACAAAGAATATTTCCAACAGCCTGTTGCAGACCTTTATCAACAACAACTGTCTCCGCTCTATACTGAAGATCAGATGGCCACCGGAAAGAATCACCAACAAAAAACTATGGGAGCAAACAAAACAAGAACCAATGGCTCAACGAATATGCAAGAGAAAGTGGAGATGGATTGGACACTCGCTGAGGAGGCCTCCGCTGGGTGACATCGCGCGTCAGGCCATAGCTCGAGTGGAACCCGAAAGGGAAGCAGCGAGTGGGACGTCCAAGGGTGACATGGAGGAGATCGTGTGAAGAGGAGTTGAAACAGTGTTGACTAACATGGATACAGGTGAAAAGTACAGCACAAGACAGAAGCAAGTGGATACGTGCAGTTGAAGCCCTATGTTCCACTAGAAACCCGAGGGAACAATAATAATAATATGTATGGATTGTCCTACCTTTGCACTGAAACCGAAGCTTTAACCGAAAGCGTCTACATGGCGCCCGAAGTCAATGTTAGCTTGACAAATCGACTACATGTAGTTGATTTGCATGCGACACAGTAGCTGGAATCTGATATAATGGCCAGCTAATGAATTCTAACTTCTACTAATTCGTGATTTTACCGCTACTATCAACCAATGGTCATTGGTGAGTATTTGTTCTCTACCCTGACCAGTTGAACTTCCGTGTACAGTAACGTACCTATCGGGTTTCGGGCCCAGTTAGTCTACCTGGATTTGATTGGTTTCAAATTACAAATAAATCTAATACTCCCTCATGATTGAGTAGAGAATCAAACTGCCTGGAATTTTAGCGGAAATTATCATGATCCAGTTAAGATCCATAAAATCTCAGATGAGAAATTATACTCGCCGATGATATTGGCTGGTGATTGGTGTTGTATGTCGTAAACATCGACAGAAGTTGGGATTGCCTAAAACCTAAAGGTCTTGAGTTCAATCCCCGGAGTAATGACGTGAGGCGTGCATGTTATGGCAGAGTGTCAAAAACGAGGAAAGAAATGACTGTCAAGTACTCCCTTGTTTTCAGTCATTCTCTTTACAAATGCCTTGATTACGGAGATGATTTGTTTCTTATGCAAGTACTTGGAAGACAGCAATTTGAATATCGGAATACCGACCCCCAAGTTAAAAGAACTTCTACTTAGAGGCACTTTGAACGTTCAATTCACATTCAATGGTAATACTTATTTATAGACGGCAAGATGGTGTGCTTATGAGATCACCATTAGGCCCATATTACTTGCAGATATTTTCATTGGCAAGTTTGGGAAATGGTCCGTTGAAACCGACAACTGACAACTTCTCTGTTGTACAAAATGTACTTTGATGACGCTTTTATCATCTGTGACCAATAGCTGCCACCCAGCAGCCATCAAATTCACAACTGAAGTAGGTAGGTAGGTACTGAACAGTCAACCTCCTTTCTGAACATCTGACTAACACAGAATACTGACGGGACTTTGAACAGATCAATACATCGAAAGCCTACGTGGAACGGCCAGCTGACAAGCGTTTACAGTTGGGTACGCATCAATCGCAAGTGGAACGTGATAATATCTCTGGCGACTAGAATCCATAGAATCTGCAGCGCCGAATCAGTAGAAGAAGAGATCACACTCCTTTGAGAAAGACACTACTTAAGAATGGCTATCCACCACGCTTTATAGATAAACACATAAAACCGAAAATCAACAAACGACAAACAATCCCTGTGCCGAAAAAGATGGTATACATGAATGTGGAATTCAAGGGTGACCTTCTGGCCAACATCTTACAGGGAAGAATATTTAACGCCCTGAAAAGAATATTCTCTCCTGCTACATTACGATTGGTATTCTCATGCCACTTATTGTTCTTCAACAACTCCAAAGATAAACTATCGCATCTGACCACTTCTATGTATATCTATCGATTCACTTGATAATAGGGAGCGAGACAGATATATAGGTCTTTCGATGAGTAAAAGAGTCAAGAAACATTATCCCGCTTGGCTACGAAAACATAAGTGGATCAATAAGGAGTGCTTAAATTGAACAAATATCCAACACTGGTCACTCAATATGTAAAGAGAATTCATTCAAAGTCATCTACAAAGTCAGAAGAAGCCTCCCGAAAACGGTAAGCTTCTGCATACTTTGCATTGCCATGGCCCTCGGGATCCGGATAGAACACCCTGATTTATTTATTTTTTTTATTTTGATTATAGCTTGATTCCACACCGTATTTTCACCATGTTATATCGGCAGCCTAAATTATGCAGGCCGACCATTGATATCAGGTGTGCGCCGGCAGGGGATCGAACTTCGGACCATGTGCATGGTCGGAGAGAGTCCTAACCACTGTGCCACCGACGCACACATAAGAAACTTATCCATCTTCTCCTTCTACTTTGGGGTATAATTCCAGGTCCGACTACATCGTTCCTAATACTATTTTTGAGTTTTTGTATGATATTTAAATAACATTTTTTTCTTAACTAACCCTTTATTTACTCTCTCCACACTTATCGCCATGCTCTTTTATTAACATATAATTTTTCTGGATGTCTTTCATATTACACAACCCTTGTCAATATTTACCAATCTTCCCCCCCACCCCCCAGATAGTCACACTTTGATTACTCATTACATTTTTGAAACATTTTGATGACGTAAACAATAACTCTAACTAATTTTGATTTTTGTTTGACAATCCTAATGTACACAGGGAGAGAAAGAACAATTATATGTAAGCGAATGAATTCACCGCCGAAAAGAGACTCTTCGCTGAACTTTTTGTTCTTATATTCTCTAACTGATATCACACCTCGAAATTAATTGGTGGATGGTAAATAGCAGTGGAATCCAAGATGCGCATTTTGTTTTGTTTGGGACTCGTCATCGGGATGTACCTACATTCCACAGTGAGTGGTGATGTTCCCAACGAGGCTCGAACCCAGTGCCCATAGTTTCAAATAGGTCCTGGATTCCACTGCTAGTTAACATCAACCAATTAACTTCGAATTACATGCCCAGATATCCTCGAAGCATCTGCACAAGAAGCCAGCATGTCAACCTGAGACCGACCACTTCGGTCCTATCAATCAACGGGAAAATCTAAAATTGAACTAAATGACGTCACATCTGTTCAAATTTCATTGGTCCAACATCAGATAAACAAAAAGTTAGAAAATTTCCAGTAGTCAAACTGATAAACAAATATATATATATATATCACCTTCACCTATCAACCTGGGAAGCATCGTTTCAACTACAGGCGAACGGAACTGACGAGGATATCAAAGCAAGAATCGGAAAAGCAAGACAAGCTTTCACTACTCTCAAGTCTGTGTGGAGGTCAACACCCAGCACTCAGCATGGAAAATAAGATCCGGATTTTCAACTCCAATGTGAAGTCAGTCAGTGCTAACTGCTATACGGATCAGAGACTTGGCGCGTTATGAAGAGCATCTCAAACAAACTACAGACCTTCATTAACAGTTGTCTTCGCTCAATACTGAAGATCAGATGGCTGGCCAGAAAATATCAACAACAGAGATCTCTGGGAGCGAACCAACCCAACAGGAACCGATTGTGAAACAAATAGGCAGGAAGAAATGGAGATGGATTTGCTGGCCATACTCTGAGGAAACCATCAAGTGATATCACTGGACAGGCCATTGCTCGAGTGGAACCCGAACAGGAAGTGGCGAGTTGGTCGTCAGTGCGAGGGTGACATGGAGGAGGTCATGTGAAGAGGAGATGAAAACGTGTGGGCAGACTTGGAGCCAGATGAAAACTCTAGCAGAGAAACGAACGCAATGGAGACGCACGGCTGAAGCCCTATGTTCCTCTAGGAACTAAAGGAAACAATAATAATAATATAATAATAATACTCATCAGCCACATATACACGACAGTGCATTTAAATAATTAAGAGACTATGTGATTTGCTGGTCAAACTGTTTGGTTATCTAATCGTCTTTAAGTAAAATACCATGTGTAATCCATTAACTAAAAGTCGCCTGTTAAGTCTAATAGAGCCCTAGTTCACAGCAGTCAAATGTC